CCTTTACCTTGGGCAACATCATAGTGCTAGAAGAGTGTGGTGGAGGAAGACGACAGTGACGTCGAGTGTTGGGTCCTTGGGTCCTTTCTGACCATGGTTGCTTTCTTGCAAATGTTTTGTGACCCACCTAGGTAACATCATCAGTGCTAGAAGGGGGTGTGATTTCTGGAGGACGCGGTGGCTGAGTGTCTTAAGACACTGAGCGTGTTGATCTGAAAGGTCAGCGGTTCGAATCCCTAGCGCCACGTAACGGAGTGAGCTCCCGTTCCTTGTCCCAGCTTCTGCCAACCTAGCAGTTTGAAAGCACGTAAAAATGCAGGTAGAAAAATAGGGACCACCTTTGGTGGGAAGGGAACAGCGTTCCGTGCGTCTTCAGCGTTGAATCATGCTGGCCACATGACCATGGAGACGTCTTCGGACGGCGCTGGCTCTTCAGCTTTGAGACGGAGATGAGCACTGCCCCCTAGAGTCGGGAACGACTATGGGGAACCTTTACCTTGGGCAACATCATAGTGCTAGAAGAGTGTGGTGGAGGAAGACGACAGTGACGACGACTGTGGGGTCCTTGGGTGCTTTCTGAGCATGGTTGCTTTCTTGCAAATGTTTTGTGACCCACCTAGGTAACATCATCAGTGCTAGAAAAGCGATGGACTTGGTGGAGAGGCTGAGGAGGCCTGTGAGGGGTCTTTGGTGCTCTCTGAGCTTGGTTGTTTTCTTGCAGACGTTTCATTACCCACCGAGGTAATATCAGTACTAATAAGAGAGTAGGTTTTGCTGTCATTTTATATACTAGTGGCTGATGATGTTACCTAGTTTGGGTCATGAAACGCAAGAAAACAACCATGCTCAGAGAGCACCAAGAACCCCACAATCCTCCTCTTTCAGGCTAATAGAAGGCAGATATTTCAAGACCCAAACCAGTTGTTCTCACACAATAATTTTGCTTAATCCAAGTAATGAAACGCCTTCAAGAAAACAAGCTCAAAGAACACCAAGGACCCCTCATTTCAGCCCTGAGTTAGGGATATTCTCCTTTACAGGCAAGGGTCTGCCAAGGAGCCCTCCGGGAAGGGAAGGGCAAGCATGACACAGCTGTTTACCTCATCTGGGTCTATCTGGCCGCGTCCACCCTTTGGCTGGAATTTCTGCACAGTCTTGGACAAAGGCCCTACTTAATGCAGCCTAACTGACAATCCCAGGATTCGATCTTTTGGTCAATGGACCTCTCTTCTACACCTTAAGCGGGATTGTCAGAGAAGTTGGGGGAAGTTTGGTATGTGAAGGCTCTGTGTGTTGAAATCATCTCTCCACACACTTTCAAGGAATCCAGGTGCCCCTTGAAACCACAGCCTGGATTTTCTCTTTTATTGAAACTTCTTTCTTTATTGGAACTTCTATGTCTCTGCTCTTCTATTGGAATCTTATTCTCCCCCCCCCCTTAATTTTGGGAAGCATTTCTCATTAACAGAGAACTTGTTTCAGGTTGAGTCAGAGAGGCAAAAGGACTAAGTAATCCTGGCCGCTTGTTGTAAAAATTGATTGATTGATTGATTGATTGATTAGGACAGCAAATCATTTTCGACTCCTAGCCACCACATAGATTTGCGGTAAAATAAAATGGACATACAATACAGGTAGTCCTCAACTTACGGCCACAATGGAACCCAAATTTTCTGTTGCTAAGCAAGATGGTTAAATGAGTTTTGCCCCGTTTTATGACCTTCCTTGCCATGGTTTTTAACAGTTTCACTACAGTTGCTAGTGGTTATTAAGTGAATGTGATTGTTAAATGAATCTAGCTTCCCCATTGAGGATTAGAAGAAATTTTTTTAATGACTTTTATTTATTTATTCATTCACAGGTAAATGTAATACAGATAATCCTCGAGTTACGACCACAATGTAGCCCAAAATTTCCATTGCTAAGCAAGACAGTTGTTAAAAGTGACTTTTGTCCCATTTTATGACATTTTGTGCCCCAGTTGTTTAGGGAATCGCTGCAGTTGTTAAGCTAGTCACACGATTGTGAAGTGAATCTGGCTTCCCCTTTGACTTTGCTTGTCA